CTGTCAAGCTCAGAACTGAAGGATCCAGTATTCAAGGTGGACAAACGGTTTGATTTCTCATAACGTTTCTTGACAACAGGGTTGAAGTAAGCTGCATCGCCATCTAAACCAGGAACCTCTGGTCTTATAGTTCAGTCCACATCCAGCGATAGAGGATGGTTCCAGCTGGTTTCGTCTACCAACGTAGCGCGGCGGTCGCCGCACAGAGAGTCCCAGACGCTGATGTATCCGTGGTCGCAGGACAAGCAGGAGATCAGAACCGAGCAGACAAATATAGGCAGGATAATCTAGAGGGTTTAGCCAAAACTGATGTCAGAGACATGGTGGGATGTCAGAGCCAGGAGGTCAGAGATCCGATGAGGTGCTGAAGGAGAATCCAAGACGGAGTCGGATCACAGTTCCAGGTACATAGCAGAGTGTGACTGACAGGCTGGACGAGGGCAAGCAGGCTCAATGGTTGGAAAACGGTTTCAGTCTGTACAAAACCAGGCAGAGATCAGGCAGGAGTCCAAAGACGGGTCAGGCAAACTGATCAGGCAGCCTCAGAGGTCGAGAGGCAGAACAGGTCATGATCAGGTAACCCAAACACAGGAACGCTAGAATACTTCTCATCAACGGCTCTAAATTATCTGGCACTGATGGCTGGTCTGAATGATGGTTAAACAGAGACTAATGTAGGTAGATCAGGTGAGTGGGTAATGAGAAGTGGGCGGAGCTAAACAGGTATGTGAAATGAGTAATCAGAAAAGGTATCAGTGCTGAGGTCATGACACAAGCTTCAATTGCCCTTCACTTAGGACCATGAGATACAAGTTCAATCAAAGAACTGTGGCAAGACTTAACAATTCAGATTAAGATAAAACCCATCTGAGCTGCTTTGCAAATAACGGGCAACTGTTTCTGAATGTCGGAATTTACAAAATATTGACCTAAGATGAATGAAAGTTAATATTTACCGCACTTTTTCAAATTCTATTTATCTAAACCCTTGATTATATTGTTTTTCTTCCACTTTAAAATTATGAACTACTTTATTTTGGTCTATCATATATTCTCCCCAGAAATTAAAGTGAAGATTGCATTGGTCATGAAATGAAAAATGTATATAATAGCAGATTAAAAGATCAAACAGCAACATTATATATAAAAAAAAAAAAATCTAATAATTCGAGGCTTAAAAAAGGGTTTTTACCAACAGGACCCTTCAGATTATAAAAAGGATGACATTAAACAGCCATGTCGTCACAGCTGAGAAGAGGATCGCCGTGACATGGAGCGACAGCGGAGATCAAGCGATCGGAATAAGATGATTTGAGAAAAGCATTGAGAGGATTCAGACCTTCCATGATGGATTTGTTCCATGCAAACTGTAACTCTGATGGAGGTAAGGAGACACAACCTCACCTGAAATCATTTTCTCCACATTTACAGTACCATTCCACGTCCAGGTTCGTACACACATTAAAACATACGGTGCCTCCAGGAAGTGACATTGACAAAGTGGGTTAGTCTTCCCAGGACAGAAATAAATGAGTTCAAGCGCAGCAGTGAGATTACATTCAGACCTTTCTGGTTAGTCGCAGTTTTTCAATACGCCCTCAGGCTCCGACTGTGTGTGCTTCTGTGAGAAGAAGGGAAGTAAAAACACACAAGATGGCAAAATGAGTTTATGAAGAAGGAGAAACGGTCCATTAATGTTTTAATAATTATCTAATACTTTATTTTTAAGGTATTTTTTTTTATTATGAAAAAAGAAATAAAGTCGGGTTGCTCAGTGACGCAGTGGCTAACACTGCCGCCTTGCAGGAAGAAGGTTCTGGGTTCGATTCCCGACCCGGGGTCTTTCTTGCATGTTCTCCCTGAGCATGCGTGGGTTCTCTCCTGGTACTCTGGCTTCCTCCCACAGTCCAAAAACATGACTGTTATCTTAATTGGCTTCTCTAAATTATCCTTAGGTGTGTGCATGAATGGTTGTTTGTCCTGTTTGTCTCTCTGTTGCCTAGCGATGGACTGGCGACCTGTCCAGGGTGGACCCCGCCTCTCGCCAGCTGGAGATAGGCACCAGCAGCCCTCTTGACCCCAATTGGGACAAACGTGTTAGATAATAAATGGATGGATGACAAAAAGGAATAAAGTCGGGCAGCTCAGCGACGCAGTGGCTAACACTGCCGCCTTGCAGCAAGAAGGTTCTGGGTTTGATTCCTGCACTGCAAAAATGATCTCAAAATGAGTAAAAATGTCTTAAATTAAGGGTATTTACCCTTAATTTGAGCAGTTAAATAAGATGATTTGCCAATGGAATTAGTATTTTTACTCTTAAAATAAGGCATCTAGATAAAATGCACTTAAAATAAGACAAAGCAATTGTTTTTTTCTTATTTTAAGTGTAAATTGTCTTGTTCCATTGGCAAAGTTTCTCACTTAAATCCTTAATTGAAGAAAAAATGCACTTATTTTAAGAAGAAATGACTTATTTAGATTTCATTTTTTTGCAGTGTGATCAGGGGTCTTTCTGCATGGAGTTTGCATATTATCCTTGTGCAGGCCTGGGTTCTCTCCGGGTACTCCGGCTTCCTCCCACAGTCTAAAAACATGACTGTTAGGTTAATTGGCTTCTCTAAATTCTCCGTAGACAGCTAGGTTTGTTAAGGCCTGGTTATCCTCCTGTTGCAGTGTGTCACAGTGAGCTTGTTGCAGATATTTTTGATTTATGCCCAATATTGGAGCGTGGTCTATGTTATTCCACGTCACAATGCAATGAGGAACTAGCTGTGGGTCTAGATACGGTCGAGGCGGTGAGGAAGTGGGGGCAAGTTTGTGTGAAAAGGGAGGGACATGAGGGCCAAAAGGAGCAGGGTCCCAGCGTTCTGGTGCATGTCGCTCTTCTAGCTGCTCCATCTTCACATTTTTCCACAATGGCGGTCAGACAAACAAAACAAGCCCGGAAGGTACCAAACAGGAAGTGTAGAGCGGATGTAGATTTGACCAGATTTGGTTTTTCTTTTCTTTTTTAACTGTAAATTGTCTTGTTCCATCGGTAAAGTGTTTCACTAACCTCCTCAATTTAAGGAAAAATGCACTTATTTATTTTAAAAATGACATATTTAGATTTATATTTTTTGCAGTGTAAAGACTTCTTACACCAGATTTTGCAGCTTTATTTATTTTCTAAACTTTTCTTTTTCTTGTAGAACTGTACAGAATATATCATATCTACGTTTGTGTCTTATACTTTAAAGTCCAAATCAAAGGAACTTCAACAGTTTTTCTTTTCTAATGATACCTTAAAAAGAAAATAAATTTCTCTTGATCTTCATTATATTGATCAGAAATTAAATCTAGAGAATGATTTCTGCTTGGATTAAATGTCTGACTTTAGGAAGTTTCCGATGAGTGAAAACATGCTGCATTTTCAGCAAATTTTCTTTATTTTATCTGCAGAAACCCAGAATTTTTTTTTTTAAATATTTTTATTCAAAACCCATGCTAAAAAAAGGAAAAAGTATTTTGGTGAAACGTAAATAGGAGCAGAGGAATCTGCACAGGGGTCAGTGAGCAGAAACACAGTCAGGGCCATATGGCTCAGAGTGATAACATCTATATTTGGCCTTTTACTTGCTGTGATAAGAGTAGAACGAACCTCCAATCCGATTTCAGGATCAGTGTTTATGTTGATAACCTGATTTTCCTTTTAAACACGGTATTAGAAAAC